AAACCACAAAAGTAAAAGAAAAGATTATTAATGAAGATAAGAGCAGAAATTAATGTTATTTGTAATTAATGTTATTGGTAAGGTGATTAATCTTATTGTTCTGAGATGCAGATTCTGATAGTTTTAGAGGTGAGTTTTAACAAACTTGAAGATTCCTCCAATTGTTTGCAAAGAATAGGGTTAGGGACCAGCAGTTAGCGTAATGGCTATGTTGCTGGACTCCCACATGGTCAACCGCGGTTCGAGTCCCGGACCCAACGGCTTAAACTCACACCGGGCGCGTGTGCGTGCGTGCCCAAGATCCTGAGAGAAGAATGGAGGAGAAGGGATTACAGCATGGCCATCCCCCCTGGGAGGTGATTTCTCGCTTTCTGTCTCTCTGTCTCTCTCAGTCTGTCTAGCGAGCGCATGTGCCCTATAGCAAAAACCTCTCCAAAAGAAAAAAAAGAATAAGTGTAGACAGAGAGCTGGAAAAGGTAAGTTACTAAACCCTTTTTTTGAGGCTTGTGTTATGTTGCTACCAGGACCCCAAAAATATAGTTTATGAAAAGAAAATCTTATAATAATCTTATTTATGCACATAGATGTAGAAAACCCTATTACCAATTCTTAAAATAATTATTTAATTATCATTATTATTATTTAATTAAGAGAGAGAGAGAAGGAAAGTGAGAAAGCAGGCCACCAGGTCTGGGACTTAAACCATGGTTGGCCATGTGGGAGTCCAGTACCTTAACCACCATGCCACCTGCTAGCCCTCCTATTACCAAATTTATTTCAAAGTCTGTCTTTCTGTCTATCAGTCTGTCTCCTTAAGTATCACCAACCTTCCATGCATACATTCATCCAGGGTTGTCCTTAGAAATGCAGGCGTAGTTCCAAGGCAGAATTATAATTTTTAATTAAATTAAACTAAAACATAATGTAATTTTTTAGCTAACATTGCTATAATTCTGTAATAGATATAAAACTTTATCAAGTTAGGAAATGACGTACAGAAATTGAAACTTCCACGCACAGTTGGCAGGGGTGATGACAGTGGCCCTGCTTTGGAAAATAATTGGGCACTTCCTCAAAGAGTAAACATGGAGTCACCACATGGCCCAGAAATTCTACTCCTAGTATCTACCAAAGGAAAATGAAACAGATGTTCACACAAAGGCTTGTACATGAATCTGCACAGCAGCATTATTCTAAATAGACTTAGGAACAACCTAAATATCCATCAATCGATAAATGGATACACAAAATGTGATATATCAATACAATAGAATATTATTAAGTAATAAAAGGAACAAAGTTCTGATACATGTCACAAACTAATTTTGCCACTAATGTATCTTGAGATCAGGACACAATTCACAGTGGGCCTTAGTTCTCTTCATATTAGTTAATTATGAATACTTTTGTTTGTTTTTGCTATAGGGTACGTGCACTTGTTGCATGCACTCACACACGTGTGCATTAATGAGAGAGAAAGTGAGAAATCACTTCTTGGGGAATGGCCACGCTGCATAACCTTCTCTCGTCTCCTCTTGGGATGCATATACAGGCACCCTATGTGATTTTCAAGCCCTGGGTCTGGAACTCAACTGTGAAGCTGGCCATGTGGGATCCAATGCCTTCAACTCTACACTACCTGCTGACACATTAATTACATTTTAGATATCTGAAACATATGAGAAAAGACACTAAGATTTTATAAGCTGTGTTGTATAGATGTATGTCATGATGCTCTTTCTGTATTTTCTAGGTAATTGATGCTTGGAACATTGTGTAATAAATATCAAACAAAATATAAAGAATAGGCCACTTTTAGAATGGATTAGAACTAAAAAGGGGGGTAAGACTGAGCAAAGGGCATAATCTGAGGACAATTTTAGATGAGCGAGATATATTTACCAGACCGAGAGAAAGGCTGAGAAAGGGAAGTTAAGATGGACTGTTATGTATTAGGAATGTTCATTCCTCATGATTCCCTATTTAATAAAGATACAAAATTGTTTTTCATTATTGTTTGGATGTCACACTGGCATTACTTCTGAACGTGAAACTACGCAGAGCTTTGTTCATAGTACAAGAATTTCTTTAGGGACCAGCAGTTAGCGTAATGACTGTCGCTGGACTCCCACGTAGTTGACCGCAGTTCGAGTCCCCGACCTGGTGGCTTAAACTCACGCCAGGCACGTGTGCGTGTGTGCCCAAGATCCTGAGAGGAGAATGGAGGAGAAGGGATTGCGGCATGACCATCCCCCCTTGGGGGGTGATTTCTTGCTTTCTGTCTCTCTATCCCTGTCTGTCTGTCTGGCAAGCTCACGCGCCCTATAGCGGAAACCTCTCCAAAAAAAAAAGAAAAAAGAATTTCTTTAAATGGCTAGTTTCTTTTTTGCATTGTGATTCATCTGGACAAAATAATCATCCTTCTCCTCTATTGCTCATCCCTTATTGACTGGCAAATATTTTCTTAACTTTAAAATTAATTTTTATTTACTTATTTATTAAAAATAATTTTTTAGAGAGAAATGTTTGCTATAGAACACGTTTGCTTGCTAGAGAGGCAGAGAGAGACAGGAAGCTAGAAATTACCCCACAGGGTGGATGGTCACACTGCAGTCCCTTCTCCATTTTTCTCTTGGCGTTTTGGACATGCACATACACATACCCAATGTGAGTTTCAAGCCACACAGTCTGGGACTCAAACTATGGTCAACCATATGGTAGTCAAGCAAGGTAACCATTATGCCATCTGCTGGTCTGGCAAATACTTTCTTATCCTCTGAGTTTTAAATCTTGCATTTTGTCCTTTACAGATTTTCCTTTTTTGATATACTTGTGGGAGTCTTGAGAATCTAGGCTATCTATGTTCATGTTTACAGTTAACTACCTTATATAGATGCTCAATAAGTATTTGTTACACTAATGGACAAATTTTAAAAATTAGTTAATGAGCAATCTTTTTTTATTTTTTATTTTTTGAGAGGTTTTTGCCATAGGGCGCGTGCGCTCGCTGGACAGAGAGAGACAGAAAGCGAGAAATCACCCCCCAGGGGGGATGGCCATGCCACAATCCCTTCTCCTCCATTCTCCTCTCAGGATCTTGGGCACGCACGCACACACGCCCAGCGTGGGTTTTAAGCCACCGGGTCCGGGACATGAACCGTGGTCCACCACGTGGGAGTCCAGCAACATAGCTGTTACGCTAACTGCTGGTCCCGATTAGCAATCTTTTTAAAAAGCAGATTTAAATCCATCTTTTGAAAATGTAGAATTCAATTATTCTTATTATAATTAAGATTGTGCAGATATTACTATAATCTAGTTTTATAATTTTTTAAAGAATTATTTAACTTTATTTATTTTATTTATTTATTCATTTATTTTAATTTGATCAGAGAGAGAGAGAGACACACAGAGAGAGAGAGAGAGGGAAAGTGAGAAAGCAAGCTACCAGGTCCAGGACTTGAACCATGGTCAGCCATGTGGGAGTGTCCAGCACCTTAACCACCATGCCACCTACTGATCCCCTAGTTTTATAATTTTTTATCACTTCCCCAAACTAGTACTCATTAACTATCATTAAGCATTTACCTCTGTTCGAACCCCAGACAAATATTAATCTATTTTCTGTCTCTTCAGAATGGAATGCCTATTCTGAACATTTCATATAAATGAAATAGTACAATATGTAGTGCTCTGATTTCTTTTCCTTAGTATGATATTTTCAAGGCCATCCATATTGGGGCATGTATTAGAACATTTCTTTTTATTGCTTAGTAAATATTCTATTGTATGGATATCACATTATTATTTAGCCATTTATTGGTTGATGGACATTTAAGTTGTTTCCAAGGCTATTAGGAGTAATGCTGCTATGAAGATTTACATACAAGGCTTTGTGTGCATATTTGTTTGTTCTCAGGCAGACTCCTAGGAGTAGAATTTCTGAGCTATATAAAAATTCTGTATTTACTTTTGAGGAATTGCCAGTTACCTGTCTTTTTTATTTTATTTTTCTGGCAGTCATTTTAGTGGATGTGAAGTGGTATCTCATTTGACTTGCATTTTCCTAATAACTAACGATATTGAGCCTCTTTTCTTACACCTATTAGCCATTCATGTATTCTTGGAAGAACAGCTATTCAAATAGTTTTTATTCAGTTATAAGAGTTCTTTATGCTGGATACAATCCTTATTGGATATATAAATTGAAAATATTTTTTCTGAGTCTATGCATTGTTTTCATACTTTGCTGATTCTGTCTTTTCAAGCATAAAAAGTTTTAATATCAGTGATGTTCCATCTAAGTTTTTATTATTAATTTTTGCTATAGGGCACATGAACTCAGGAGAGGCAGAGAATGAGAGGCAAAATGAAAGAACACTTCCTTGGGTGGATGGCCACACTACAAATTCCTCTCCATTCTCCTCTCAGGATTTTGTGTGTGCATGCACACATTCCCAGCATGTTTCTCAAACTGCTAGATCCAGAACTTGAACCACACAGTCGGCCATGTGGAATCCAGCTACCCTAACCACCACAGCACTGGCTGGCCTCCAATTTTTTTTTATTGTATTTTGGTATCAGATCTAAGAAGTCATTGCCTAACCCAAGGTCAAAATGGTATACACCTATGTTGTCATCTGAGCATTCTTTATTTTTAGGTTTTTATTTTCACTTGATTTTTTTATACGGTGAGAGATGGGCATCCAAATTCATTCTTTTGCATGTGGATAATAAATCTTATTATTATCATTTGTTGCAAATGCCAAGGAGTATCAAAAATGAGTGAAAGAAATTAAAGTATGGATTTATTTTAGTACAGAAGAATTGAAATCCACGTATAGTTGTTTCATAGTAAACATTTCTCATGAACTTTTTAAAGACCTCTTATATTTATTATACTGTTATTTCCTATAAATCATCTCAAATGTTTTTGTAATTATATGCATTTTTTTAATTGATATTCTTTTCATTTATTTTTCCTATGTTTTGGCTTTTAGGTTGTTTATCAAGTGTCCCACAAATGAAAAAAATTTCCACTTCTTACGAGGAAAGACGGAAGCAGGCTACTGCTATTGTTTTACTTGGAGTAATAGGAGCAGAATTTGGTGCTGAAATTGAACCTCCTAAACTGTTGACCAGACCTCGAAGTTCTAGTCAGATTCCTGAGGGATTTGGTTTAACTAGCGGTGGATCCAACTACTCACTGGCCAGACATACTTGTAAGTTTTTATCCTCCTAATGCTGATCTGTTGCTTCTCAATAGTTATTATTTGTTCACAGAATGTTAGAATAGTGAATATATCCTGAGATTTAGCTCATTGAAAATGTTTGAATGAAGCTAAAAAGTCATTGGGCATATTGCCTTTTAGTTATATTGATCTGAACTTCTTTTTAAAAGTTATAACATGGTCTTATAAATACTTTTCTTAAAATAACACATTTCTATATTTGTGTGTTTGCATTTTTTAAATTGTGAGTGCATGCACGTGCTCCCCCACATGTCTCACAATGGGGTGTGGCCATGCTGCAGTCCTTTCTCCTCCTTTTCTCCCTCCTTTCATGATTCCAGGCACTTATGCACATATGCCCGCTATGTTTTCAAGTCTCCAGAGCAAGGACCTTCAGTTGACCATGTGATATCCAGCTCCCTTAACCACTGTGCTTAGAGGCCCGCCCTATATTTGCATTTGCAGTCAAGATTCTTTTTTCATTTTGTTTTTTTAAAGAATAATCTATTTATTTTATTCCTTTTGTTATTATTATTGTTATTACTATTATTTTAATTTGACCAGACAGAGACAGAGAGAGAGAGAGAAAGGGAAAGGGAAAGTGAGAAAGCAAGCCACCATATCTGGGACTCAAACCATGGTCAACCATGTGGGAATCCAGCACCTTTAACCACTATGCCACCTGTTGGCCCAAGATTCTACCAGAATTTATGAAAGCTAGCTTCAAGTTAAAACTTCCAATTTTTAAAATAACTTCTGAAAAACTCTGCAACTTGTCCTATTTGAAAAGTCAGGGGTAGGGAAGAATAGTAAACTTCTCTTTGGAAAAAAAAAAAAACTATATATGTACATATATATGTATTTATTGAAAAGAACATGAATCATGAGTTAAGAATTAATTACCTCTGTACTTTCAAAAATATTCCAATAGCAGTTTTTAAAAATTGTTTTATTTTATTTATTATTATTATTATTAAATTTGATCAGAGAAAGACAGAGAGAAAGGGAAAGTGAGAAAGCAAGTCACCAGGTCTGGGACTCAAACCAGTCAGCCATGTGGGAATTCAGCACCTCAACCACCACGCCACTTGCTGGCCCCCCAAGAGCAGTTTTTAAATGACTAAACTTTTGCAATCAGAGTTCAAATAACTTATGCCATATTGCTATATTGTTTTACGTTTTTGACCTTTCAACAGTGAGAAAAGATTATGTGTTCCTTTGTTAGTCATAACAACAGAGAGGTTCACTGGACTACTGTCACATACATTTCCTGTAACACTGAGGAACCATGTTAGTGGCTTTTAGAATGAAAGTCCTTCAATAGTCTTAGCTTTCCCTTCTATATCTTTTTCTAAAAGACCCTTAATTCAACAGACACTTCTCAGTGATAATCTCTTGATCTCTATTAGACATTGACAATCAGAGAGCAGTAATAATACCACCACCATCACCAATACAAGAGCCACTATGTTAAGCACATTTTTAAGCTCTTTACATGCATTAACTCACTTAATCCTCATAATAACCCTAGAAAGTGGGCACCTCTCTTATCTCCATTTTATTCACATTACTAGTGGGCAAAGAGAAGTTTAGCTAACCTGGCCAAGATTATCCTTCTAGGAAATTACAGTCCTTGTCTCAATTTACTCTGTTATTTCTGAAGCTGGCTCTTTTTACCATATGCAAACTGCAATTTTTCCATGGCTCCCAGTTGAAAAGGGCTTAATGACATATGTGCTATACCGTGATCATTTTAAAAAACACTTGTTTTTCCATCTTCCCATTTAATCTTTACGGTAGACTTAAGATCTCAAAATGGCTTGGCCAAAAAGTGCTCAGATCTGAACTTGAGCTCAGTCTACTGTGACCTGAAAACTTATGTCCTTTTCGTACTTCACTTGGGCACATCCACTTTCCATCTCCTGCAAAGGCTTCCCTACTGCTGGCCCACCTCACAGCTATAGCCTGTTTATCTCTTTTCAAGTTCTCCAACATCCCTGCCTTCCATTCATTAAACCCTGCTTCAATCTCACCATCTCTTCAAAGAGGTGAGCTCTCAAGTTAGCCTTACCTCTCAGTCCATTTCAGAAATCCCAGGACTTACTTCCTTAGTTAGAATCTTGGCATTACTAAATGAGAGGTTAATGCAACTTTGACATAATTTAGTCCAGTGTCTGGCAAACTTTTTTGTTCACTGTCTCCCTCATGAATATTAAATATCTAATCCCTTGTCCATTTTTATGTTGATAGCAAAAAACTTTCAAATATTAGTTTGAACATTTGCAAATGATCTAATTTTGAGGATATTGTGAATATTAATATTTAAAAATAAAACTATTGTTGCTTTTTAAAAATGTGTTTGGTAGACTATTTACTTTTAAGTATTTGGCATGCATCAGCATCCGTTTTAAAAAGATAGATGATTGAAAGTTAGAAATCTTGTATCTTTAGGACCAGCAGTTGGCATAACGGCTGTGTCACTGGACTCCCATGTAGTCGACAATGGTTCGAGTCCCGGACCCGGTGGCTTAGACTCACGCCGGGCGCGTGGGCATGCATGCATGCATGCCCACGATCCCGAGAGGAGAATGGAGGAGAAGGGATTGCGGCATGGCCATCGCCCCTGGAGAGTGATTTCTCACTTTCTGTTTCTCTGTCTTTCTCTGTCTTTCTGGTGAGCACACAAACCCTATAGCAAAACCCTCTCCACAAAAAAAAAAAAAAAAAATGGGGTCAGCTCTTGGCCCCTGAAAGAGAAAAAAAGAAATTTTGTGTCTTTATTTTGCTTGAAGGGAGAAAAGTTCTGTTCTCATCATTTAAGGGAAGAAGTTCATTTGAAAATTTAGTATCCAGAAATCAATTCTTTTAAATTACCTAGTTTTAAAACTATGCTTTTTAAACTATCTAATCCATGAAAAGTCTTAAGATGTTCTCATTTGGAGGCCAGTGGGTGGTGTGGTGGTTAAAGTTTCTGGACTTGCACATGGCTGACTGATGCTTGAGTCCCAGACCTGGTGGCTTTCTCATTCCCCCCACCCTTTGTCTCTCTCTGATCAAATTAAAATAATAATAATACTAAATGAAGATAAATAAAAACAATTCTTTAAAATGCTCTCATCTAAATGAAGTTACCTATTTTGAAGATCACTGACTCAGTCCAACACATTTTATATAATTCCTCAACAATATTCTTTTATATTTTGTATTATTCTACAAGGAAAGTGAACATAAATTCTATTTCCTTTGGAATTTCCCAACAGCTCAGTTGAAGTATCTGTATATAAATGTAGAAATATTGTAATTAATAAATTATTGATTGATTCCCCTGAAGCCATTGGCTAGTTGGGAGGTAGATTAGCTTATCAGATTATTTTAGTTATCTAGGCTAATATTCTTGTCATCAATTTTCTAACCACAATTTCCCTTTGCAAAAATGATAGTATTTATGAATTTGCTCTGATATCTTTTAGCTGTAATAATTTCATTTGTAAATTGTGGCTACTATAACTAGAAAAAGGGGAAAGATTAGAAAAGAAAGACATTCAAAAAGTAAGGCTGAGTAAAAATAGAGATTTAAGATAAAATACTAATTATAAAAAGTCATCTAAGGACTGGCTAAAAGAATCTAATGGCCTTAGTAGTATTCTGGGTCTGGTAAAAGGAAAACAGGGAGCTAAACTATATGTGGAGGGGTCCCATTGTGTACTTCTGGAGTAAGGGAAAGCTTGAGCCAGACTGGGCTGCGGACTAGCAGCCCTGCACGGTGGGCCTCCTCAGCTCTCCCCCAGCAAGGTAAGAAAACTTACCCCAACATCTTAAATATCGAAGTGTTTTACGAGCAGGTTTGTTCTTTGAGCATTTGAGATACAGGACTAAATATGGGAAAGGAAGAAGTAAGTGCTTCTTAAGAAAGTAGATTTATGATTATTCAGTTGAAACATCAGATGCAGAGATTCTGAGAGCTTTCTAGCAAGCAATAGTATATCAAAATGAGTGATTAGTACCTAAGTGAACCAATATAAAACGTGTAAAATGTCCTTGATCGTTTCCTTCATTCTTATGCTTACTCTATTTTAATAATTATAAAAATATTTTAAAGATAATGATGTGCTTGCTTTTAACAGCCGTCCCATTACCAGAGTACTTCCTCAAAGGTCTTAAGTTCCTTGGTGGGGAGATCCTCCTCCCACAGGGAGTTTTCAAGACTTTCCTTTTTTGAATTAGGATGTCTTGATTACATTTATCAGTTTGAGTCTTGGACATAGATGTCTGAATGTTTCTGTGTCTTACTTGGACTCTTCTCAGTCCGGGTATGTTAGTCTATTCTAATGTCAGCCTGCTGCAGGCTGCTTTATGTATTGCCTTGCTTAGTTATGTGGCATTCAGGATGCTTTCTACCACTAAATATTTACTCTTATAGCATCCTATTGAATAAGATGATAATTATTATCCTCACTTTGAGATAAAGTCATTAAGATAACCATATTTAATGAACTGTAATTGTTACTGTAGTTAGAAGTATAGATAGTTCTAACCTTTCTTCTAAAGCCGTTCTGTGTAAACTCCTAACATAGTCCTAACACAGCCATTCACATTGACAGAAGGAAAGAGTAATACTAATGTATAAGTCACAAGTTATTCTTAACTTGGTAGTACATTTCATTCTTGTATTTAAATATAGATGAGTCGTCTGTGGGAGTTACACTTTACATATATTAAAATCAGATATCAAAGATAAAATTGAGGTTAATTAGAGGCCTAGACTAGGCCACTCTCTTACCTTGTGTCTAGGTTAAGCTAAGGATTCCTCTGTGTGACATTATCCTCTAGTACAAAATAAAAGGCAGAGGTGGGGGGCGGCAGGTGGCGTGATGGTTGGGAGCGTTAGACTCCCACATACCACATAGCTGACCACAGTTCAAGTCCAGGACCTGGCAGCTTCACTTTCTCTGTCTCTCTGTTTGTGTGTATATGTCTGTGTGTGTGTGTGT